AGAGGGAGAGGGAGAGAGAGAGAGAGAGTAAAAAATTATTTTGTAGGCCAAAATATTATCGAAAAAATTGATTTAAGTTTCCTGAGTCTATGTTTGGTTAAAAGTAAAATATTGCTAAAAAATGAGTTGAAATTAGCAAATTAACCTTTACCTATGAAATTTTAGCATGTTATTTTAGGAACATTTGTATCCAAATTTTCGCTTACCTATTTTTTCTTTCTCAGATAAATCAAAATACCACCCTCTGGGTGGTAATCTTAACTCAATTTTACAAATAATATCAGATTCTTATGCAAATGAGAACCCTGTGCAAATTTTTTACTTACCCCTACCAAACATATAATTTTAATTATTTCTGATTGAAATATTCTTGAAACATATAATTCATATATTTTTACGGGAGGATTAGATTTACAAACTTTTTATTTACAAACTACATTATGTACTCCCGGAAGTACACTAGGTTACACTATGTATTTCCGGGAATACATAGTGTAATTTGCAAAAAATTGCAAATTTTTTTTTTGTAAATGGATCCTTTCCTTATTTTACATATGAAACTCTTTTGAAATTAAATATATTCTACGGACAATATTGTGAAACTAAAACTAGTAATTTGATGTTGTATAGCATATTTATATGAAATTTTTGTTAAATGTTTTTCAATTGATTTTTTTTTTCGCAAAAACTAAAAATCAAAAAATTTATAAGAGTTAGTGAAAATAGAAACTTTTGCACAAAAGTTGTCGTTTATGTCACAACTATTTAAGTCAAGATTGTTCTTATTGAAGCTGGTACTTTCGTCAATATATAGAAAGGCATTTCAATTCTATTGAAACAAAAAAAAGTGCATAAAAAAGATATGATTTGTGTAATTTTAATTTTTTAAAGAGGGAATTCTTTCAAACAATCACTTTTTTATCATGAGATATTGTATGACCTAATAAGTAACAAAGAATAACCTACTGTTTACGTTATTATAACTTATTCGTAAAACATCCTATCTCATAATGTAAAAGCTTGCTGATTTTTATTTTATATTACAGTTTTATCACAGATGTTAAAGTAAGCCCACGTTGATTCAAGTGGTTTGTAGCATGTGGCAGTTGGTGAAAGTGTTCTACTCTAAATGGTAATATCTTCTTCCCTATTCTATATCCTCCATTATTTCATTACTTAGTTATATATGTTGGTCAATTGAAGGTAAAAGTAGGGCTGATTGACCGATTTACCCCTCTTTTAAAACTAATTTATCATTTTGTCTATTTTTTAAACTATATATTAATTTATTACTTTTCTTAAATTATATATCAATCTGTTGTTATTTGATTAAAATTTGACAAAACTACTAACATTGGATTTTAGCCAAATTCAAAACCGCAGTAGCTTGTTTGTTGAAAAACCGTGCTAATATAAACGGAGATATATATTAAGGGTTTGTTTTTTTTATAGTCAAAGTAGATAAAGTATTTACATTGAGCTTAAAACGACGTCATTTTGAAACTGAAATCAAGATATTTTTGTAATTATAATTTATTTCAGTGTTATATAATAATCTTTTTAATTATAATTTTTTAACCCAAAACAAAATCGTTTTGGAAGTGAATATAGATAACTTATCTACATTCACTTTAGAAACATTAAAGCCATATACTAAACATATAAATCAATCTCCGTTAAACCCGACTAGAGAGTATGAGATGGAGGAAATTCTTGTATGCATCTTGCCCTTACATAATTGAAAAGAGGTTGTTTCTGTTATAAAAAAAAAAAAAGAGGTTGTTTCATGGATTCGAACCCATGACCTTTCAATCATAAAAAAATACTAAACATATAATTAAAAAAATACTTAGTGATATATATATTATAACAAATTTTTTTCTCATACTAAAATTCTATAAAATATAAAAACACGTTTGTTTCTCAATAAATATTTATTATGGGTATGTAATATTTACAATTTATATGTATATATATTAGATCTATCAATCAATTAGTATTTATTTTGCACTAAGAATTTGTATGACTTATGACTATTGTCACTGATTTAAGTTTTTAATTATCTCCGCTGTTATAAAAGCAGGACTAGATTTGTTTAAAACTTATTACTACTTATTTTTCCTAAATATATGTTTTAATTAAGTTATTTTCAATCACAATCTTAAGTGTTGTTTTATTTTTACCGATTTATTCTTAAATGACATCAATATATTGTATAACTATTTAACATTAATCCAAATAAAATATACTTTTATTAGTTTCATATTTTTTAAATTTTGTAGCTACTGAATTTTTTTAGCCAAATAAATATAATATCTTTTACGATAAAAAAATATAAAATTATATACCTATTTGGCTAAAAAATCATGTACCAAAATAAATAAATATAAAATCTAGTTGCTAAAAATTTTTAAAAAATATGATATTAATAAAAATACATTATTGAGAAACAAATGTGCTTTTACATTTTATAGAATTCTAGTGTAAGAAAAAAATTGTTATAATATATCACTATGTATTTTTTTTTCAAATATATGTTTAATATATATCTCCATTATTATTAGCCACGGTTTTCAGCAAGCTAGATACGATTTTGAATGTAGTTGAAATCTATTTTTTTTAAATTATTTGGTCAAAATTTGATCAAATAAGAGGAGATTGAAATATAATTTAAAAAAATAAACAAAATGATAAATTGATTTTAAAAGAGGGGTGAAACGGTCGATCAGCTCCAAAGTAGTGAAGTGGTATTCTTTTTTCTTGGTAATCAGTGAAGTGGTATTCTATTATGAAATTTGAATAGAGTTTGAATTTAATTTATAATAATTATAAAATTAAATTTATAAATAAATTGTCGTTAGATCATCATAATTATTATACTTTTTTAAAAAATTGAATTAAAATATTTTATGTAATTTCATATAACTAGATGTCATTTATTTATCAAAGTTGATTTTTTTTCTTTAAAATTTTAAGATATTAAATCTATATATGTATAACTAAATTCAGAATTCATTTAAATATATCACTTAATTTCTTATTTGATAAAAAGAGAGTGTTAATTTATCAAAAAATTATATAAATAAGTAATTGATATATTTGACATTCTAATCTTAAAAAATAAATGACAAAGAATGCTTTTTTTTATTCCAAATCATTTAAAAGACCTTTAATGGAACATGTTGACAAGGAATCTTTTGGTTGTAAGTGTATAATCGACTTGAATTTTTTATTAAAAAAATTAAGTTGGGATGAATTTGAAAAAGAATTAGGAATGAGAGTAAAACAAAATAATTTTCTAACAAAAATTAAAATCATAAATAAGATTCAGAGACAAAAATAAAAATTTCCACCAGTAAATTTTATAAATTAATTTTCTTTTGAACTTGAAATGTATGCATTAAGAGGAATTGTCTGATTTTTAAAGTGATTCGTTTTTATTGGTTAAGAGAATGATATTTTAACACAAGTACTATAAACCAAAAGATATAAATTAATATATTAAACAAGAGCAGCGTTATTCTTACAACCTATTTTTCACCGTTGATTTTCGTCAATCCAACGTTATGATTTATTAGGTCATATTTATTAATTAATTATTAATTCTAATAAATTATAATTGTTATATTGACGGAAATCAATGGTTAAAAAATAGATGGTAAAAGGTTGTAAAATTTTTAAGTTTTAAGAATAACAATCCTCGTAAAACAAAATGTATTTGCGGTGTTTCTCTTTTTTGGCTAGAATATTAAATTGGGGATCTTAATAATATGCATGTCTAGTAATTTATACTTAATTATGATTAGGAGTATAATTATTATGTTCGACTTTGATTTCAGTTTTGTTATTATTATATTTGTCTATTCTAGAGTCTTGAAGAGTCGTTAAATTATGAAAAATATATTCATTTAGTTTTCGTTTTTCTTACTCGATACTCTCTCATTTTATCAATAATTATCTTTAACTATGAATAATCATAGCTTAAAATGTTATATATTAATTTGATTTGATTTTCAGCAATCAATTCATATGAAAAGAAATTACTTTTATTCACAAGTATAAAAATTTAAGAAAGAAATTAGCAATAAAACTATTTAAAGGAAAATTTTGACATTTTGTCTATCAAATTTATTCTAGACCTCTTTTTCGTCACTGATATTTTCAAAAGTCATCAAGTAATATACCTGATCACTTTAGATATCATGCTAACAAGTTTTATTATTATATATGAAGATGTCTTGTTAAGAAGTTTTATTTCTTTTTCTAAAGGAAAACATAGGATGTATGGGAAATATAAGTATTTTATGACACCTGACACATTTTCTCAGAAAAAAACTGATGTGTCATAATTCGCTACCAGTGATAGTGAATTTGGTCTGCAATATGACCACGTGTCACGAAATTATTGGCCACGAAATTCGCTACCAGTGATAGCGAATTATGACAAATGACAGTCTCGTAAAAAATACTGTTCGCGTGGCATTTGAATAAAAAATTTAGCAAAAAGTGGCACTTTGGTCATTGTTCCGAAAAAAATTAAAACAAGCAACATGTGTAAATATATAGGTAGATTAACCTTAATTCAAATTAAAGAAATGTATATATTTTCAATTTTCAATTTTGTTAATGTCTAAATAAGTTATCTTTATGAAATATAGTTCTTAAACTTTAGAAAATGGTTCATTTTTCTTGTGCAAAGAAAATAAAATTTTAGCATAAGCTAGAAAACCTTAGCTGCAAAGGATAATAAATAAAGGATTATGGATTATTGCTTTGCCATCCTTGGAAATGATAAACTCATCTTATCTATCAATTTAATTCTTTGATTGACATTTATTCCCTTATTCATCATAATTAATATTATCTTCTTGTTTTCATATGCGTGCAGAAGATGCAGTTGATATATACATAGAGCTCAGTGAAGTCAATGATGAAATGATAAACTCATCTTATCTGTTCTTTGTTTTTTAATTTCATGTTATTGTTCAAAAAAAAGAAAGATGTATCTAGTTACTTTGTTTCATCAATTAGTGTCGTTGCCTCAAGCGAAGGCGTGGCTAGAGCAACAACTGTTTATTCCTCTACTGCAGTACGACGCAAGAGTTCGTGAACTAAAAGTTGCTGTTCAGAATCTCAACACGAAGAAAGAAGATGTTGGACGCAAAGTTGATGAGGAAGAAAACAGATATGGGAGAGGAATTCCAGACAGAGTTAAAAATTGGATACAAGAAGTCGATGAAATCATTTCTGAACATCGTCATTTCCAAAACGACGAACCCCATTATCTTGCCACATTTGACTTGTCTGGAACTGGTGGCCTTCCTAATCCTTGGGAAAGGCATCGTCTAAGCAGAAAAGCAAGTGATATTACAAAGAAGGTTAATGGACTACTGCAAAGAGCAGAGCAAGATTGGCTTTCTTATTGGGTTGCACCCTCCACGGCTGCATTTCTTTCTGTCGTTGGTTATGAGGTCTTTCCATCGAGAGAAGAAATTGTGAAGAATATTGAGGCAGCTTTGGAAGACTCGAATGTCAGAATGATCGGACTTCATGGGTTAAGTGGTGTAGGCAAGACCACTTTAGTCAAAAAAGTTGCTCAAGAAGCCTTAAAAGTTAAGATGTTCAATGTAGTGATCATGGCAAATGTAACAAGAAATCCTGACATAAAAAAAATTCAAGGGCAAATAGCTGATATGCTGGGGATTAAATTGGATGAGGAAAGTGACATTGCAAGAGCTGCTCGAATACGGAAGAGTTTAGAGAATGATAAAAAGAGCACGCTTATAATCCTAGATGATCTTTGGGCAAAAGTGGACTTCAATATGCTCGGGATTCCATCTGAGAATGATGACGGTGATGGAGTGGAGAATGTCAAAATGGCGATTCAATCTGATAATGCCGAGGAAAATGTCGAAAAAGGGCAATCCCCAAATATTTCATCTGATGATAATCAGAAGATACACGATGCCTCCAATGGGATGAAACAAAAAGATGCTCTTAGTCATTACAAAGGGTGCAAAGTTTTGCTAATTTCTGAATCCAAACAAGTACTGCTATTAAGTCATATGGAAGGGAAGGGAAAATCTATTTTCCCTATGCAAGTATTGAGGGATAAGGAAGCAAAGAAATTATTCAAGAAAAAGGCTGAAATAGGTGATACAAATTTTAAATTTGAAAAATTAGCAGCTCAGATTGTTGAAAAGTGTGAAGGGTTGCCCATGTCAATAGTTACAACTGCAAGGGCATTAAAAAACCAGAGCCTGGCGGTATGGGAGGATGTTAACCAACAACTTGAAAGGGAAAAGTTTACAGGAGCCCCTGAGTTTTCTACTAAGTTGAGTTATGAACTTTTAGAAAACGACGAGCTCAAGTACACTTTCTTACTTTGTGCTCGCATGGGTCATGATGCATTAATTATGGACTTGGTCAAGTACTGCATTGGTTTGGGCTTTCTTCAAGGAATCCACACAGCAAGGGAAGCTAGAAATAGAGTATATGCATTGGTTGAAAAGTTAAAAGAGTCTGGTTTATTGTCTAATAGTTACTCAAATGATCATTTCACCATGCAAGCTATTGTTCGCAGTGCGGCTTTGTCAATAGCATCCAAGGAAAAGCAAGTATTTACAATGACAAAGAGAAGAATAGATGAATGGCCTGATGAGGATAAACTTAAAAGGTATGCTGTTATTTCCTTGCATCATTGTGATATTGAGGGGTTTCCTATAAGTATAAACTGCCCGAGACTTAGAGTGTTCCATATTGAAAATAATGGTCCACGTTTGAAAATACCAAACAACTTTTTTAAAGGAATGAAAGAACTCAAAGTGTTGATATTGACTGGCTTTGATCTGTCACCCTTACCTTTGTCAATTGCATGCCTCAAAAAACTCAGAATGCTTTGTTTAGAGCAATGCGTGCTAGGTAAGAAATTTTCAATCGTAGGCAAGTTGAAAAATTTAAGGATTCTCAGTTTTTCAGGATCTGATATTGAAAAATTGCCTTCTGAATTGAAGCAATTAACCAAGCTACAAATTCTTGACATAAGTCATTGCTCTAAACTTCAAGAAATTCCATCTAATGTAATAAATAGTTTGACTAGTTTGGAAGAGTTGTATATGAGAAACACCTCGATTCAATGGAACATTGAAGGACAAGCAAACCAAAATCAAAATGCTAGTCTTTCTGAGTTGAGGCATCTGAATCAGTTGACAACTCTGGACATACAAATCCCAAATGTTGCCCATTGGCCAAACAATTTGTTCTTTGACAAGTTAAATAGTTACAAGATTGTTATTGGAGATTTGAATGAACACTTAGAGATGGATTTTAAGATGCCAGAGAAGTATGAAGCATCGAGGTTTTTGGCAGTGCGGTTAAAAGTTGACTTTGACATTCATTCTCAAAAGGGTATCAAAATGTTGTTTGACAGAGTTGAGAATTTGTTGTTAGAAGATCTCTTTGATGTCCAAGATATTTTTTATAGATTGAATTTGAAAGGATTTCCATATCTAAAACATTTGTCCATTGTAAATAATTCTGGCATTCAATTTCTCATTAAGCCAGAGGACAGGGAGCAATCTGAGGAGGTTTTTCCTAAATTGGAATCATTGTATCTCTCTAATCTCACGAAGATGGAAACAATATGCTCATGTGAACTTTCTAAACCCTCATTTGATAAATTGAAGGTAATCAAGATCAAAATCTGTGGTCTCTTGAAGAATGTCTTCTCATTTTCTATGGTTAAACTTCTAACTGTTCTTGAAACAATTGAAGTTTCTGAATGTAACTCTTTGAAGGCGATTGTCCCGGGGGGGACACAAAGTGACTCTAAAGAAATTGAGTTTCCTAAATTACGCTCTTTGATGCTACAATCTTTACCAGGATTTGACGGATTTTATCCCATTTCATCAATAGAAGAGACTAAAGAGCTATTCCACAAAATGGTGCGTTTAAAATTGTCATATAGATACATTTATCTTTTGCATTTTAAACTTTGATATTTTATTTTTTAAAACTAAAGGAAGGAGTTTGTGAGTTATAAACTACTTAAAATAATGTTTCCTTTTTCTAGGGAAAATTAACTTGAGAAAGTCAAATTCACTTCTTTAATATTTGCTGCTTCGCAGGTTGTAGTTTCCAAATTAGAGAGAATGGAGTTGTCCATGATCCAAGTTGACAAAATATGGAGTGACGACCTACCTTCAAAAAGTTCCAATTTCAAAAATTTGATGCACTTGGATGTGAATGGTTGTTCAAATTTAGAATATTTATTACCATTTTCTATGGCCGAGAGTCTAGTGAATCTTCAAAGCCTTTTTGTTAGTGGATGTGTGAAGATGGGACAAATCGTTTCTCAAGTGAAAGGTTCTAATGTTCAAATGAAGGTATGTAAGTTGGTGGAATTACATTCTATTTTTTAGATCTCTTCATTTGCCTTCATTTGAATTACCATAACTGATTTTTGTCGGGGTTATTGTTCTTATATGTCGTATTTGTCCACATTTTTTTTTTCACAATTTCTACAACAATAAATAATAATTTATCAACCCAAACCACAATTTACATCCTTTATAATCAAATTACTTTTTGTTCTCGCTTTATTGATTCAATTTGCTTTATATTTGACATCTTTATCAAGTGGATTATCTTATGGGAATTGTGAACCAAAGCAGGGCATCTTTCCAAATTTGAAGAAAATCAAACTGAGCAGCATGAAAAGTTTGACCAAGATATGGAATGCTAAATGCCATCCAAATTCCTTTGGCAAATTGGACACGTTGATAATCGAGCAGTGTGATAAATTTGTCAATGTTTTTCCTTTTCGGAGTCTATGCAACTTGAGGGTTACTAATTGTAAGTCAATGAAAGAGATATTTGATCTAGATGCTAGGGATGTAACAAACTTGCAGGATCTTCATTTAGAAGCACTCCCGAAATTGGAGCATGTATGGAAAAGGAATGAAGATCAAGGAAGGATTCCTAACTTGGAAAAGCTACGAAAGCTATCGGTTCATTATTGTGAAAGCTTAGAATATATATTTCCATTTTCTGAAGTCATGTGTCTTCCCAGTCTTGAAACCCTTGTGGTACGGATGTGCTTTAAATTGAGGGAAATTGTTACTAAGGGAAGAAGCTCTAAACCATCATTTGTGTTTCCGAAGCTAACCACTATCAAATTTTCAGCACTACGAAGGCTCATGAGTTTCTACCCAGGAGATTATGAAGTGAGTTGTCCAGAATTGAGCGACTTGTCTATTGAACGCTGTTTCAGGCTGAAACCATTCAGAAAAGATACCGCAAATGCACAAACAGTCCTTTTTCGTAATGAGGTACGAGTAAGCCTTTCAACTCCTAAGAATTCTTTCTAAATTATAGAAACATAAAGCAAAAATCATAATAGAAGGGGAAAAAAATCTCATTGCATTTTGCAAATATTTATTCTCTTTATTTTTCATTATGTAATTCTTATAGGTAATCAACAATTTGAAGTCCATGCAAATTGAGTCGTGGCATGCAAATTACATGGGGAAAGCGAACTACCGAAGGAACAAGTTAGAAGAGCTTTGCTTATCTAGATTAGTGAATACTGAGATTCTATATTCTTTCCTTGATAGCAATCCTAATCTCCAAAGCTTGTCACTGATTGCTTGCTCCTTTAAAGAGGTGGTGCCTCCCAGCAGATCTCCTGGAATTCAAAACTTGTTGGGGCTTGTTCCAAAGCTTAAAAGCTTGAAGTTAATAGATTTACCCAAGCTAGTGGAGATAGGCTTTGAACGAGACATAGTTCTACTTGAGAAGATAGAGTCCTTGGTTTTAGAGACATGTCCTTGTTTGGAGAGTATTATCTCTTCCTCGGTATCTTTCACTCATTTGACAAATCTGGAAGTGGTTAATTGTAATGGATTAAAATATTTAATGCCACCATTAACTGCGAAAAGCTTGATTCACCTCACCACCATAAAGGTAATCAAATGTGAATCTCTGAAAGAAATTGTATCAGAGCAAGGAAGTGAAGAAGATGGAAACAAAGATGATAATATTTTTTTCAGACAATTGAAAGCTCTAGAACTTGTGTCCCTGAAGAGCATAGAAAGTTTTTGCAGCTCTAAGAGTTATGTCTTCGAGTTCCCATTATTGGAGAACTTAGTAGTGAGTGCATGCCCCAAAATGAAGAATTTCTCTGAAGAAGTCAAGTGTACATCAATTTTGCAAAAAATATATGTCGTACATGAACAACAAAAGAGGTGTTCCTGGCATGGTAATCTAAAACATACTATACAAAAAGTGTCCGAGGAAAAGGTACGTATGTATGATTTTACGAACTGAATTCTCATTTTTTGTTGTGTTGTTTCCTTTTTTTTTATCTCTTTAATAACTAATTAAAAACAATAATTTATTGTTTTCTAAATAAGTCTTTCTTTGGACGTTGGTAAATGATAAAAAGGGAATAAATAGATGTTTAAAAAGAAAATAGAATGCAATAAATTTAAAGAACTCTAGCTCACTTCTTCCATTCCCCAATTTTCTTGGAGGGTAAAAGATGAAAAGTTGAAAATAATTATGGAGTTAGTGATTTAGATTAAATAAAAAATAAGTAAAGTAAATCAATATTACCTTTTAATTTTAGTAAATTAAGATTATGATACAATTTAATTAAATAAAAATAAGTACACTATTATTATTTGTTCACTTTAAAAATAACTTATTAAAAAGTGTTATAAAATAAAAGGGAGACAAGAATATTGACTGAGAAAAAAAGAGAGTAAAAAGAGGTTGATAAAGAAGGAAATTATGCAAATTCGCGAGGGTTGGAGGCAAGATTCTGATTGAATTATTTCCTTCTATCTCGGTCAGTTCAACTTTTTTTTCCATCTGTCTTTTATATCATTATAGATAAAAAAAAAATTGTACTTAATTCTAAAAAAAAAAAAAATTTGCTAAATAGCATTACTAATTGTAGTAATAATATATTGAGAAAGGATCCATTTATAAAAAAAAAAATTTATAATTTTTTTCAAATTACACTATATACTTCCAGAGTACGTAGTGTAATTTATAAGAATTTATAAATAAATTTTTTTTTAAATATAACTCTCTCATAATATATTATAAATTTATAGAGATAGCATTACTCCTCAGTTTGTTGTGTCTTTGAGTATGTAGGAAGAAGTTATATATACTTCCGCCGAAAATAGGCTACGAAATTAAAAAAAGAAAGAAAAGAAAGGTAAAAACCAAAAACATATTCATTCAGAAATTAACCAACCTCCACATTATGTTTACAAAATTTGAAGGTACTTTTCTCAAATAGGAAATTTAGTCGTACCGGGTAATGGATTCCTGTTTGTATCTAATAAAAGAAAAAATGAATGACAATTATGATATTCAATTGAGATTCAACTTTTAATCCTTTTTATTACTTGCTCTAGTTTTTCTTTTCAATTTAAGGATTCTGATAGGAATAGCAATGTAATGGTGTTTATTGGCATCGCATGCATTATAATATGATATATCTGATGATAAACTTTTTTTTGCAATATTTACAGAAGTATTTTGAAGGCATGGAGGAGATGAGTTATTCCGAGTATCTTGAGCTACAACAAGCAGCCTGGCATGTTGGAGTTGGTCTGCAAAAGAATTGGTTTTACAGTTTGAAAACTTTGAAGCTGGTCAAGTGTGATGATATTCAACCATATGCAATCCCATCCTATATTCTTCCTTATTTAAGTAACTTAAATGAATTGGAAGTACGGGATTGCAAGAAAGTGAAGGTAATTTTTGAGATGAATGACTCTGAGATTATGGAAGCAGGATCCCAATTGAAGAAATTGACTTTAGAAAAGCTGTCGGAGCTGAAGCAGGTGTGGAACATGCATCATCAAGGAATTCTCCGACGGTTTCATGAAAATTTGCAACAAGTCTCTGTCTCTTATTGCAACAATCTGAAAACTCTGTTTCCTTTGGCCCTGGCCAAAAATCTTAAGAAGCTCGAGGAACTCAAAATACGTTCTTGTATTAAATTGCCAGAAATTGTTAAAAAGGAAAAAACACCAACAGAAAAGTTTGTGTTCCCTTGTTTAACCATGTTGAATCTTTTTCACTTGCCAGAACTCAGTTGCTTTTACCATAAAACATTAACTCTGGAATGCCCCGCGTTAAATCATTTATCTGTGAAGGATTGCGGTAAGTTGGAGCTATTTCAAAGTGTACATCCCGAGGATGAGGGTGAAAGTAGTAGTGTTTCAAATAACAGAGGATTCCTTTTCTCGGATATAAAGGTAAGTAAAATAGAATCTCCACTCTCAACTTTATTTCGTGCATTTCTTTTCATGTTCTAATTCACAGCCCCCTTTTTTTAATTAATTCCATTTGTTTTGCCTTTAGGCTATTTCTAACCTGGAGAAATTGAAGCTCTGTGGGAAACGCACTTTGGAGTTATTAAGGTCAAGGTCAACGGAAGCCCTCATATATTTAAATGAACTTGAGGTGGGATTTGATGAGAATGAGCCGCCTACTTTTCCCTTAGAAATACTCCATAAAGCACCCGATTTAGAACGTATGCAATTTTCGAATTGCAATATTGTGGAGGAATTCCTCACTCCAGACCCCGAAATAGTTGAACACGGGATGCTTGGACACTTGATAATGTTGCAACTGTACAGAGTATCTAATCTCCACTCAATCGGGTCAGAGAAGTCATCATGGTTAAACACAATCCGTGATCGGCTCAACAAATTATATGTTTCCGATTGTCCCCACTTGACAGAAATAGTACATTCTGCAGTATCTTTCTCCAATCTAAAAGAATTGTTTATATGGAGATGTCATGAATTGAAGTATTTGTTCCCACCCGCAACAGCAGAAAAGTTAAGGAACCTTGAAGTGATGAGAGTCTTGGAATGTAAATCAATTAAAGTAGTGGTGGCAAAAGAGGGAGATCAAACAACTTCAGGATCAATTAAATTTGAGCGGCTTTGCTCGATAGAGCTTAATTCTTTATCAAGCCTGGAATGCTTTTATTCAGGGAATGACACTTTGGTGTTACCCTCTCTGATAGTAGTGAACATTCGGCAGTGCCTCAAGATGGAATCTTTCTCTCATGGATCGACGAATGCGGAATCTTTTAGAGGAATTTTTTCGTCCGTCTTACATGAAGAATTGGTCCTCCACGAAGATCTTAACGGCTCAGTAAAAAGGGTGCTTCTACAACGGGTAAGGATTTCATACCAATCAATTACTACTTTTCCTTAATGTTATGATTCCAAAAATTTGATAATTCCTTGGTAACTTTTAGATAAATACTAGTAAGACATTCCTTAATATTCTCTTTTTAATACTTTCCTTAATATTCAGTGAAATTTTATAGCTGTACTAAATAATTTGGGTCCAGTTACCGTTAAAAAATTAAAGAAATATATTTTTCACTTTATTCTCATGCAACGCACACAAAAAAAAATGAGTGAGACTTACTTTTTGATTTCTCTCTTTTTTTTAATGGATCCATTCATTTTTTTGCTGCAACATGAGAAACATATTCTACTTATTGTTATCAATATATTTAATAAGTTATGAAAGAAATGTTATCCATTTACGTGTGTTTTTTAAGAAAATATTCCGCCATATTACCATTAACATTATAATTCTACAACTACGATTTAGAGGGACTATAATATACAATTTTTAAACATTTATTGGTCGATTGCTTTTGTTACTGGCTTGAGGGCTGGGGCAAACTCGGTGCATAGCTCCTTTGCTTCCCTATAAAATAGTTCATACTCTTCAACTTTTAATTTAGCACGTAGGATGCATATGTACAATTTAACTGACATTTTAACAATATAAAAGTAAATTATTGAGTAAATATATAATTTTGTACTTTAGTCTTTAAAAGTTTTCGTCCATATAAATTAGTTTATTAAATTGTCAGATTTATAGCATTCATCCTACCAAAGTTATTAACTTGCTAATAAGTTCATTCGTTCAAATTAGATTTTTATAAACAGAAACTTTACAGAAGTGACACAATTAGTAACATCTTTCAGTCACCAAATTATATATTTATTCAAAATTGTTTCATATTTACAATCAATATTGTACAAAATAATCGAGGGCAGAAATGCCGAAGTCATGCATATATCTCAGCTTTTGATAGAACTATCTTTCCCTTGGAAATAAAAATAGAAACGAAAATGCAAAGAAAGATTGCAAAGAAAAGAATTTGACAAAATAAAAAACCTCAGTCTGGCAAAGGAAAAACAGGAGTACAGCATTTGAAACTCTACATAATAATTAAAGAATAAGAATATTATCCATACTTAAGTATCAAGCAATAAGTAGTTCATGTCTTTATTCTTTTGCATGCCCAGGATCATTTAGTTCTCGGGGATTCTCCACTGTTGGAAAAGATATGGTGCAAGTTGGAGCCAGACGTCCCACATTGGTATTTCTGCAACTTAAAGTCATTGGTCGTGGAAGGGTGTGACTTTTTATCAAATGCGATCCTACCTTCTCATTTACTTCGTTCCCTAAGTAACTTGGAAGAGTTGCAAGTGCGAAATTGTAATTCTGTTGAGGCAATATTTGGTGCTATGGTTAATATGACACCTGCTTCTGACCCCCTCTCCTTTGGCTTAAAGAAACTGATTTTGAAGCAGTTGCAAAGTCTAAAAGATATTTGGGATAAGGATACTCAAGGAAGACTCAGCTTTCCATTTCTAGAAGAAGTTCTGGTTGATGGATGTAACAGTATAGAATATTTGTTTCCAGCATCAGTAGCCAAAGATACACTGCAAAAGCTTGATGTGAAAAGCTGTGAGGGGTTAGTGTTAATTTCTGCAAAGGATAAAGCAACCACAGAAGAAGCAGAAAAAGAACTTTGTATATTCCCCAGCTTAATATCACTGAGGCTGAGGGATTTGCCAAATCTGCAGCAGATTTATCCTGGAATGCACATTCTAGAATGTCCTATGTTAAAAGAATTAGATGTTATCCGATGTCAAATGCTGAAGTTTTTTGTGACAAATTCTCAAACAGATTCACATCCAGAGAGTCAAGATAGTTCTCCAACAGACGAGGAGCAAGCCTTCGTCTCCCTTCAAAAGGTATGAACTGTTTTTGTATATGAAAGCCCTCTTCTCAACACTTTGCATTTTGTGCTTATACATTTATTATTCGAATATATAGCATCTTCCCTGTGTTACAATTTTGCTATTAGCCTTATATATCCTGTGTGTATAAGGCTATGGATCTGGAGAGATGAGAATTTCTTAGATAGTCATATTGTAGAATCTAATGTGCCAATGATAATCGTAAAATGGATTTGTTAGAGATCGTAATTGCTTAGAAAAATTACTTTTAATTGCTTCTTATTCTTGCTGCTTCTCTTTCCTTAATTTCCTCTCGCATGGTGTGCCTGGAGATGAATTGGCATGTCATGTCAGATACTTATACGATTTTCCTAGTTATTAGGACATTTTAGATATTTGGGTATATTTGTTTTTTTGTTTTGGTTGGCCTCAACAATCTTTGTAAATTAACATTGAATTTTTGAAATATCATCTCTCATTTTTTAATATGACTCCTAAGTAAATATTTGTATCACATTTTACTATACCACGTAATTTATAAATTTTTAATAACATTTTTACATGAAAATACAAAAAAATTATTGGTAATATTTTTTTCCATTATATCTATAAATTAATAATAAGTCAATTAAGGGATATAGATGAATATTTATGAAAAAGGAAGAGAACTTATCTGTAGGGGTGTGCATGGTTCGGTTTTCTTGTCGAAACGAATTCTAATTAAGAAGTGAATTGGTTTATTAGTTCAGTTTAGTTTTGAACTATTTTATAATCAGTTCGGTTCAGTTTAAAAGCAGTTTCCAACTGATTTTGAATCAATTCATAATTGAATTTGAGAGTCAATTTTGAATCTAAATGAAGATTATAAAAAGATTAAAGGAAAAAAAGAAAAAGTTAAAAAATATATTGAAAAGCTTGTTTATCTAATAAAACAAATAATAAGATTGATTAAATATTTAAAAGTTAGAGCTCAAAAAATTCACAAATAATTCAACTCATTTACACTCTTTTTTTTTGTAGGTTACAGGGAATAGAACACACAACCACACACTCACACACACCCTATTACATACACCCACACCACTAGGCTAGCCCTAGTAGATATTAGAATATGCATTTAAGTTGCACCACTAGGGATAGTCTAGTGGGTTGGGTGTGTTTAGAGGGTGTTAGGTTTGCTGTTGGATTCCATCTAATATCAAAAAAAAAAAGAATATGCATTTAAGTTGAATAAATATTTCCTAATAATTAAATGCCTCCACTTGTATCTAATAGTAGTTAGTTGTAATAAAAGTAGATACGCAACTGTCTAATATGTCCCTTAAGTTTTTATGAACTTTTTTTTTTTACTATATAAAAATAATAAATAATAAGAAAGATATCCCTCAACTTTTTTTAACCTCGATGAAGCAATTCATTTGTAAGAAATTCAGATCCCAATTATTATTTTTTATATAATTCGTTATTATCTAAAAAAAAAAAAAAAACTGCAATTAATTATTATCTAGGGGATCCATTTTTGCCTTCTCATGTTTCTTATTTATTTTGAATCACAGGTTACTCCCAACTTGGAGAAACTCTGGCGCACAAAGGAAGATGCCGCGATGATTGAGCAACGGAAACTTCATGTTGACCTCCAGCGTTTAGACTCCCTCCGTTTGGAGGGTTTTCATGATGAATCAGATGAATTTCCATTTGTTTTCTGTTCAAAGGTGCCATTTCCAAGTATTAAAAAGCTGTGGGTGGTTGATAGTGCCTTCAAAGAGATATTCCCCATTACTAAAATCCTTTCACGGCTTAAAGGATTGCAGCATGAGAGTTTGTCCCAGATTACATCAATAGGGTTTGAGCACCCCTTGATGGGAACCTTCCTCGAAAATCTAATAATGTTATTTGTTTGGAGATGTGATTGTTTGACAAACTTGACACCATCCACTGTGTCTTTCTCCAATCTCACATATCTTAGTGTAAAGGATTGCGGTAAATTGAAATACTTGTTCACGTCCTCAACGGCCAAAACATTAGGTGTATTGGAGCATATGATCGTTTCCAACTGTGAATCAATAGAAGAAATAGTGGCTAAGGATTATGAAGACGAAAATGAAGGTTCGATCATATTCGAGCAGCTTGAGGTTTTGGAATTGAGCTCGTTGCCAAAACTTCAATGCTTCTACTCTGGGTCTTCCACTTTGAATTTCCCATCCTTGAATAACGTTTATTTCAACCAAGTATCCAACGGCATGAACTTTTTCCGTCAAGGTTATATCTTACCAAACAAACTAGTGTGGTACACTAAATGAACGCCAAGTCAAATAGACGGTGTCAGCCTGTCAGGTATGAGTTGCACCCAGACAGGTTCCCATGACTTATATATATATATATATATATAGGCAAAATGATTTCTGCAGCTGCTGTACATACAGCAAGCAAGGATATACGTCCGAATACTAGGATACGGCAACGGATCCTGAGTTTTTTTTTTTTAAAACCGTGGGGCCCACTTTTCTGTGTCAGCTGTAGATAACACTATCTACGGCTGCTGCAGAAATGTTAAGCCCATATATATATATATATTTAATTCTCATGGACATGCAATATATGCTAATAATTAACTAACTTGGTCTCTATTAGCGTCATTACCAGAAAAATTATATTGGCTCTAATTTTGAAATTTATCGTTTGCTAATTTCCTTCAAACTATGTTATTAATTTGAGAAGGCTCATTCCATCATTTAATAATGGTCATTTGTTTCTTTCCTCTACATATATGAAGAATTTGGTATGTTTAATCAAAATATATTCTGTTTAAATTGTTTTGGTCTTATTATCTGATAATTTGTTTCAGGAAAGTGTTGTCGGGTGGGAAAAGCTTATTGTCATTGCCTTTTATCATGCAAGCTTGTTGTCTTGTTTTTCAAGCAGCAGTGGAGCAGAAATCATGGAATGTTGGTGAGTTTGTTATTTTTCCTGCATTTATTTTTTTTCCATTTCATGAAAACATGGACCTGAACATAGTAAAAGATAACATGACGAGTTTTTTTTTAGAAATAAAAAATAAAGTTCAGAAATGATAATGGATTTAATTTGATGTAGCATACATACAAACTCACAATTGTTAGAACAAGAATTATAAACTTAGGCTAGTTAAGAATTCATAAAAACACCTAACTTTGATAGTCTCACATTTTCTCATTCTCTATAAATTATGGTCTAACGTGAATATTTTACTTATCAAAGTTTGGGTTCCAATCACTGCATTCATGAAGAGACTCACTTTCCCTTGTTTTTCAAAGTTTGAAATTGTTTTAATTTTCAGCAACTATCTAATGTAATTTTTTTATTTCTTAATTTAAGGTTCAGTGGGACTTGAAGGATGCAATTAGATGATAAGTGGATAACATCATGGCAACAACCATTGGCAAATTGAGGGCTTTTCTTTTCATTAATAAAGTTTACCTGTATGCCCACAGGAACTTTGTGTTGTTTAGTGTTTCATGGATAGGTTGATCTATATTTTCTACAAGTGTTATGTATTGTTTTTAAGTTATGGTGCACGTGTTTCATGAATAAGTTGACCCGTAATTTTTACAGGTGCTATGTATCAGTTTTTAAGTTATGGTGTGTTTCATGAATAAGTTCACCTGTATTTCTATAGGTTCTATGTATGATTTTTTAAGTTATGAATTGTTTCATGAACAAGTTGACCTGTATTTTTTCCAGGTATTGTGTATGACTTTTAAGTTATGGATTGTTTAAGTATTGATTGCATTTACATACTTTGATCGTACTTTTTTTCTTCTCAAGAATCCACCATAAAACTTTTCTTGGAACCCTATTGTAACGCCCCGTCAGCAGCCGGTTAATTAACATTCATATGATATTAAGCGCAGCATGCTTAACTTAACTAATGTGGAAGCTAACTGAATAAATTTCCTTTTTTTACTTATGTATTGCAAATCTTTTCACTTTCATGGCCAAAATAAAAATGGCAGCATTTCCTCTGTATTTTGGACCACTGGTGATAATTCTCACTATGATAATTTAAACCTAATTGATTGTTTAATAAGTCAGACATAAACCATATTACCCAGCCATCCATGGCGTAGGCTATCTCATAATCATAACAGGTCTCAAAATAATATCCAGAGTTACTTACATGATTACACCAACCAACCAAAAGAGATGTAATCAAATAAGTAACCTATACATATACAGACATAACTAACAAAATAGATAAACTATCAACATGGCATAGACATCTCCTATGCTCTCAAAATAATGACATGGCATATAGATACATATCCAAAATAAAACCATGCCAAATACGTATCAGCATAACAAGTTAATCCTGACTATCAGGTCAGGTAATATCTCTCGTCTTGCTTCTTGCCACGTGATGCCTCAGCACCATCAGCTCCTGTACCTGAAATGGTAATCCCCATAATGCAAGGTGAGTTTATATAATTACCTCAGTAAGCTACAGACCCTTAGAGGGCTCCTCCACCCCTAAGCTCACTTATGGTATGAACACAATATAAAAATTCATGTATGCATCAGAATATGTATGACAATGCAGTGTGCAATAATATAATCCTACTGGCCAGAGAATATAACAAGTATGCATTACGCAAGGAAACACCATCTTGCAACATACTGTATGAGGAAACACTGTCTCATACTATGCATAAGGAAACACCGTCTTATGCCTCACGCAAGGAAACACCGTCTCTGTGGCACACAAACATACATACATATACATGCAACATATAATAAGTTATTTTTAACATACCATATCAAACTACCACCCTTCCTCAGAATTTGGTGGAACAAACAGGGGATTAACCCCAAGGACCGAAAGCTTACCTGTAATAGCTCTTTTTCTAGCCTCTTCCAAGTCAAAAGGTCCATAAGCCAACAAAATGCTCAACAAATGACCAACACACCTATTCCATGGTGAATTTATCACAATTAAATATATATACCCATTTCATATAAGTTTCACATCAAACCATTGTTTTATACGTATCTCAATATCAAGTAATCAAGAGCCTTGCTCAATGTCCATGCTCTTGCTCCACAAGTCCACTTGGTCTCACACTATAACCAATGAACACATTTACATCATTATCCATCATCAATTCATATACACAGTACTGTTCATCTCTATAGTACTATTCATGTATATGTCACTATTCATGTATACGACATTATTCAAAAATATGGTATCTTTACTTTTTTCAAATACATTTTTACCGTTAAAATCCTCATCTAAACACTTTTCTCAACATGAGCTAAGCCTTAGTCAAGCTCTAACATGTTCAGTCAAGCCAAACTTTCAAAATGAAAAACCTAAGTTCAATCTTCATAAATACTTGAAAAGGAAGAGAATTTCTTACCACAATACACTCTAGAACAAAGGAGAGATGAGTTTCTAAGCTCCCATGGTCTCAAACTCCATCAAAACCCATCTTTTCCATGAAATTTGAAATCTTAGGGAAGGAAGAAATCTCTCTACAGTGAACCCCACCCAACAACACTGGTACCAATGGATTTCTCTCAAAATTTCTCACAAATTTGGCTTTGGAACAGAGTGATTTGAAGGTCTTTAGCTTAAGTTATGAATTTTGGAAGATTTTAAATCAAAATCCCTTTTTTTCTTTCCTTTCCTCTCTGTCGCTGTGTTTCCGAAGAAGAAGGGAAAGAGTGACTCACTTGAGTCACTTAAATGAGTTTACTCTATCAGCATAAGCTTATCTATCTACACATCTCCATTCATTATTAAACTTTACCCGATAGACTAGAATATTTTTCTAGTCATGTTTCTAACTTTACTTTCACTTTTTGGATAACTTTGTTTACCCATATATTTAGGGATAGGATATTGTGACACCCAAGTTATGTTACACCCATGTGACACCCAGTCAATCTCACCGTTAGATCTCTTATGTTGATCCAACGGTTATATTTATTTCCATCTTTGTATGGTCATGATTTCCCAAATTTAAAGTGAAAGCATTAAATATGGGAAATCATAACCATACAAAGGTAGAAGTAAATATAAAATATTAAATTTGGGAAATCATGACCATACAAAGATGGAAATAAATATAACCGTTGGATCAACATAAGCGATCTAACGGTGAGATTGACTGGGTGTCACATGAGTGTAACATAACTTGGGTGTCACAATATCCTATCCCTATATTTAACCTTTAACTTTAATTTTAACTCCTTTTTCATCAAAGATGACTTTATTTCTTTTTCTTCTACTTTTCTTATAATTATTCTTCAATATTAAATCCACAACTACTAATGAAGGTTATTATACTCACCCCACCTTTTTATGATTTTTTTCGCAAAATTAGGATCATACATGGAAACAAACCCATGATATTGCCAGAGGATCTCATCCTTACGCTCCCAAGTAGCCTCGTCAAGCGTTTTGTCTTCCCATTGAATCTTAATCATCGAGATTGTCTTATTTCTCAATTTCCTTTTCACATTATCAAAAACTTTTCACGGCCCTACGTGAGTCTTAAGATTTTCCTTTATTTTAACCTCATCAGGCTATACAACATGAGATTCATCCCGAATATATTTCCGAAGTTAAGACACGTGGAATACATCATGAATATTGGATAACTGTGCAGATAAGATAAGCTGATAAGCAACCAATCTCACCCTTTTTATTATCTTATAGGGACCGATAAACCTGAGACTTAGCTTCCTTACTCACGCCCCAGGTATTAAAATTAGCAAAATCACTATTTAGTAAAATGATTAAAATTTCTTGATTAAATGAGTATAATTACTTAGCATTATCATTTTACTGTTCAAGTCAGCAACCATTCAATTACCAAAATCACTGTTTAGAAAAATGATTAAAATTTATTGATTAAATGCAGATAATTACTTAGCATTAACATAATATATAATTAAATTCTAATTTTAAATCTAACATAATATATATTTTTAATTACCCATTACTTAACATTATTTAAAAAAAAATTATAATTTTACAATTTCACATCATATTATTAATAGACTTATATATGAAAATATGTGTAATTTACTCATAATTGATTAATCAACAATTAATTATTTTATTCATTGAAAATATTATTTATTTAAGTTTTTTCAAGAAATTAAAAATTATAAAACCTTTTTAATATTAAAACACTATAATTATATTTAATTAATTATATTTTCACTTTATAATAATTTTGTGATTATATTTACTGAAAATATTTAAAAAATAAGATACAGTTTTAAAAATATTTAATAATTTTTTATATTGATATTTTTTTCTGTAAAACAATTATTAGTTTAAAACATGTGGAATAATTAACTTAATAATTATAAAATTATAATTAATAGGAAAAGGTTATATTTATTGCCTTTTTTCTTACTATTTCTTACTAACCAATCTTAACCCGTCAATCTAAAGATTATAATTTATTATATCACACTTATTAATTAATTATTAATTTCTAATAAATTATAACCGTTAGATTGACAGAAATCAACAGTTAAGATTTGAGAGTAAGAAATAAAAAAAAGATAGCGAGTATAACCTTTCCTAATTAATAATCTCTTATAATGATCTCAAAATTGGAAAAGAATGTACTTATCACCAAAAAAGTTTATCACTCTTACAACTGACCTAATCATCGTTAATTTTCGTCAATCTAGTAATTATAATTTATTAGATTTATTAAAAATTAATAATTAACTAATAAATACGATCCAATAATTTTCAATGAGTAATAACCTCTGCAGAATTAATAGGGATTAAATTGATTATAAATATGATAAAAAAATTTGGTGGTAAGGATACGTTGCCCCTCAAAATTAGGGCGCTGGTGAATTTTTTATTCTTCGTTTGCGAAGCACTATGTTCTTCTCCTTGCGCATGCACCTTTCGTGTTTTGCCCTAATTCCCATTCCACTGCACACTTCTTCCTCTCCCTCGCGTTCGCCCCAATGCCCGAAGGCGGTGGAGCTCTGAATCTGAAGGACTAATGGATGGTGAAAAAGATCGAAGCGGGCCGAAGAGGTAATTTGAGACAACTTTGTGTATATTATTTGATTATTTTTCTTCATAAAGATTGATTTTCTGCAATACTTAATAGGTGTCCAAATAAAATAAAATTTTATTCTTGACTGGTCTAACGTCTTGAATATTGCTGTCACTTTATAAATATTTCGTGTCCAAATACTCTGTTTGTTAGAAGCATTTTTTATTTTTTTCTCTTTTGGTCTCTTAATGCTAAATTTGCATCGTATAATCATAGTCTGGAAATGGGAATGGACATTGGATATGGCATTATGAAGAAAGCTGGATATAAATGTGTTGTATAACATCTATTTCAAGCAAGAATGTGAGTGTTGTTGTCTTAACCACTGGGTAAGCTTTGTGTCTTATCAGTAGTCTAATAATTTTTGGAAGGCTCACGTACTGGCCTTAACCCATAGGACTTTTGGCCCATGCGCAGGGGGAGCTATATGGCCCTAACCCACATGGGCTAGGGCTAAATTGGCGAGGCTGTTCGAACCGTAATTTTTCAATCACAAA